TCAAATGCTCTTAGTTACAGGTTTGGGTTTTTGGTATAAATTGCATTTTTCCGATTATCGCAAAACACACTGGAACTATCTGCTTCAAGGTACAAAGACTTTCGTGGAGAACTTTCTAGAAGAAACTGTCCGTATTCACATTGTGTAGAGACATTAGGTATTTTTGGAAGCAGGCAAGATGAAAAATTAGCAAAGCCTTCGAACCGCGGACCTCGGGAATACGCGCCCAGCATGCAGACCACAACACCACAAAGGCTTGCCAAGAAGACGGGAGAAATACCTTATATACTCCACCCTTTAAAAGGCGACTGGGGTTTTTAGGGGACCCAGTCGCCAAATCCTGGGTGTGGAGAATCATCATCCACCACCGTTTTTAGTTCGGGCCCCAGTGTAGAGACGTTAGGTATTTTTTTAAAGCAGGCAAGATGAGAAATATGCAACGCCTTCTCCGGGAATCGAACCACGGACCTCTGGCATACGAGCCCAGTGGGAAGACCACCACACTACGAAGGCACGCTAAAAAGGCAATAGAAATACCTTATATACTCTCCCTTTTAATGGGTGACTAGGGCTTCAGTGGACCCAATTGCTAAATCCTGGGTGTGGAGAATCATCAACCAACACCCTTTTTAGTTCGGGTGCCATTGGAAAGACATTAGGATTTTTTTGGAAGAAAGAGAGATTAAAAAATTAGCAATGCCTTCGCCGAGAATCGAACTCTGAAATGCACGCCCAGCGCGCAGACCAACACATCACCAAGGCACGCCAAGAAGGCGGGAGAAATACCTTATAATTGTACTTGGGGAAAATCATGCCAGTTTTTTTTTTTTTTTTTTTTTTTTTTTTTTTTTTTTTTTTTTTGCCAGTTCATTCGCCGGATTTGAACTCAGGACGTTCGTTAGTATTACCGCTTTACAACTGGTGGGCTCTTTTTCTTTATGATTCGTAGAAATTTTGAATTTTTCCGCGAATTTTCTGAAGTAAACTTTTAAGACGGGCCACTGCAAGACACATAAGTTTCTCGTTAACACTTCATCATAGCCTGTGAATAGTCCTTCTCAAAATCTTGCTATTCGATATGGCGTTAATTCTTTAATCTATATCTCAAATTAAAACTACGGGTTAGTTAAAAAAACGAAAAATTTAAAAGCAACAAACGGTCAGATTAATAACAACTTTACTTTTTTTTTTATTCTGTAATATCTAAATGGTGCTATTTACAACGCATTTAATAAATATAATAAATGGAACTCAAAATTTTTGTGAATACTTTGCAGCACCATTGTAATTATTAATAATTAATTAAAAGATATTTCTAGTTCTGTAAATTACCGATCTGGTCATAGAACCTTTCTGTTTTTAAACTAATTCGAAAATAATTGATGTGGCCAGCACATGACTTCTAGCCGATTCCATTTTTAAATAGCAACGAGCTGCAAGTGAAATATCACTTTCGGCTGATCGTTCGTGAGCAAAATCTAGTTCGTTATTCCAATAAATAGAATCCGTAATGGAAAATTGGGGATTCTATATTATTAGGTATAATTGGCCAGGTATGAAAACTGCTTTTTCTAAATTTATAGAAACATAATCAAATGCTTGCTTCTTGTGCCTCGTTATTATCAGCAGTGCAAGAGAATAGCACTGCATTTTTGGTGCATTCTAAGAGTATTGAAATTCTCCAAATGAGACACTGTTTGTAACAATCATTCTCTTCTACGTCTTTGTGTAAGTAAACATCATATCTAGGTACAACAGAAATAGACTAAATATGTGCTACATTAATTTAAATTAATTCTAATTATAGTGATTCTACTTTTTTCGGCAAAAATCTGTTAAGAGTTTCAAATAAGGTTTTTCTGGTTTATTATTTATAGTCAAAATCTAATATGTTGTTCTCAATCTTAGTTGTACATGCATCGCATGTGCACGTTTCAGATACAAAAACTGTATCTGAAATTCATATTCATGTTTTTTCACGAAACTGAATTCACTTTCGGTTGTTCAGTTTTTCTCAAAATCTAATTACTCTTTATCTGAATGCAGAAAGCTCAAATAAGGAAAAGGAAAATTTTTTAAAGTAAGTTTTGAATTAAAAATATTACTTCTCTTACATATATTTACCGATTATTAACCTCATGGTTAACGCAGCACATCCAACACAGATTCAAACAAAAATACTGTTAAAAACAGAAAATCAAAATTCCCAATATTGTTTTATTATCATTGAATAAAGTTCATCAAATCCTTTGCAAATCTAAACTCTTTACTGTGGCAAATATTTCTTTATGTTGCAATGTTTTTTCTTAACATGGCGCAATAATACGCAGTCTTCAACGAAATGGAATAGGTTGGGATGAAACATCAACCTTCTGGATGGGAGGATTCTATAAATTAAAAAACCTATAAGCTATTTCTCCCGCCTTCTTAGCGTGCCTTCGTGGTGTAGTAGTTCTGATTGCTGGGCCGGTATTCCAGTGGTCCGCGGTTCGATTCCCGGCGAAGGCGTTGTTAATTTTTCATCTTGCTTGCCTCCAAAAAAACCTGTGTCTACAAACCTATCATTTTATATGATCGTCGTAGAATAAAAATTACGATTATCAGTATTCATTTTCTTTGAAATGTAATATGCAGAATGTTCTGCACCTTTACATGCCAAATTCCGCGGAGGCATTCGAAAATAATTTAACTATTGAAATCATTTTTCACTGCCTCTTAATGATCAAAATTCTATATTTTTGACCAAATTTAGTACTAAAACCCAAATCAAAGGTTTTCTTGAGAAATTAGTAATTTAATATTAGATAAAATAGCATTCCCTGTTGGATTTGTACCTAACCCCATGAAAATTTCATTTTCGCATATCTCTTCAGTTTAAGGATTTGTTTTTAACTGGTCGCACCAGAATTCTTATGTTTTATTCCACGAAATGTTTTCTATCTTTGTACAGTATAGCAAGTTAAATTTTATATTTTCAAGCCGAAGAGTGATAAAGTTGCAAAATTGAGCATTTACGTTGAAACTGGAATTCAGCAAACAGTGCGCTTTTTATTACCTTACTGTAGCTAGTATGCAACACTAAAGCAACTTCTCTGATTTGGGCTGTAACTCCCCTAAATATCAACTGGGAGAACTACAGAAAAATTCGTACTACAGAGGCGATGAGCAAAGTATACAATACGATGAGCAAAGTATACAATAGTATAACCATGAATAGGACTCATACAGAACGGAACGAATGGCGTTGGTATGAAAATGTTTGACCAAGAGGGAGAACAAGAATCCAAAAAGCCTTAGTAAAGGACATAACGCCTCCTAACTTTAGTGGTTGTGATGCAACGTCTGTTGATACTCAGCACCAGTTTATGTAACAGTTCTTGGGGCAAGATTTTTCATGCTTCAAGCAGCATCTGTTTCAGTTATCTGGTGTTCTGCACAGTGTACGATCATGTCGCCAGGCGTCTCTCTAAAGTATTCCACGCATGTTCAATGGGATTTAAATCAGAGTTGCAGTCTGAACAATCAATTCTGTAGATAACTTCACTTTTCAGGAGTTCCTCAAAAGCATGAGTTCTTATGGCCATGCATTGTCATCCATAAAAATAAATTCGGAACCAATGGCAGCCCGGAAAACATGCATATAGTGGAATATAGCCTCATCACAGTAATGTTGTTCTGTAAGTGAATCTGGTCAAGAATGTAGAGCTCCGCCTCCATAAAAACTCTCCAGGAGCACTTTAACGATCTTTTTTCCTAAAGTTAATAGAATGAAAACGTATCTCTACTTCTCTTCATATTTAGTGGCTTCGAGAATAGTTTATCAGGCTGAAACGACTCTCATCAATCAAGAGATTGATGAGGTGTTCAGTCTTTTTAATCTCTACACTACTATAAACGATGCCACTGATGTGCTGTTGTCATTGGTATGTAGCGTTCAGAACGGCAGGAGAGTAGACCACCTTTATGAAGTAGTCTGGACACTGTAAACTGGAACATCTGTCATCTGGTTGCCGTGCGCAACTGCTAAGCAATGTTGACCACTTTCTGATTTCGATCTCTTATCTTCTGTCAGGGCAGTATATCGATCATCAGTCTCCATTGATTTCCTTGTTACAACCAACCTTTTTTACAGCTGTGCCTGTCATCTGGAAGGCTTTCCAAGAACTTTTCTCGTTAAACAGCACATTTATCAATTACAAACTCTTAGGCGACCGACATCAAACTAGGCCCTGCTCAAGCTTTTCAATCATTCTACCACGTATAAAGGCGTCCTGGAGTTTTTGTATAGCCACACTTCACACACAAAATTTAATAAAGCATAATGCATAAACATGAAATAACTGTATAAAATGCACTAATTGAATAAATAATTACAGTTTTAATTTAGTAATTATAATAAATAAGTAAATAAGCACTAATGGAATAAATCAGTAAAAACAAATGCATATGACAAAAAATGCATAAAAAAGCAGATTACAAACAAACGAGTATGAATATTTAAAATGTGAAACACAATCTTTTGATTACGATCGTTGCTATAGCCATAATATAATTAAAATAAAACAGAGTAGTAAAATGTACAGTTAAGATATTTCCTTTTGTTTCCTTTCTATTAATATTTTATATAGCTGTTAGGAAATTTAATTGCACATATGCGAGTGGCATAATATTTTGAATGGACATTGTCGACACAGAACATATTGTTACCTCATAGCATTCCCTATACTTTTCTTATCGCGTGTGAACATTTACTTCCGCTTTCACGCAAAAGATATACATTTTGATATCGGATTTTAAAAATAAATCCTCCATATTCTCCACTTTCGTGATAAGTTATGCCTTTCTCGATTTAGTTCGATCTTTCAGCTACAGACGAAAGAAAGTAAAAAAAAAAAAAAATCTTACCGACATACTAGTACAAGATTGAGCCATTCGTGTCAAAATCCATTAGTGCTGTAATATGCAACTCACTCTAATAATTTCTTCTCTTTTTCTCGCAGGTAATGGTCTTGGGATGAAAGTGGTCGGTGGCAAAGAGATACCAGGGAGCAATGGAATGATAGGAGCTTATGTTGCCCGGATATATCCGGGAGGAGTCGTTGAGACCCTCGGAGAAGTCAGAGAAGGTAAGAAAAATCATTTCGTTTGCATCGATATTCTATAAATACACCCAAACGCGAAGAGCACCATGTGACTACGATATTGGAAGAATAATTTTCAGAAGTTCCCATTCTTTCGCACGCATGTTGAATATGCATCGCTTCATAATCCACGATGTTGTTGTATGAAATTTTAAAATGTTCACTATGCTCATTTAGCACAAAGCTGTGAAATTTCTGCACGCTGCGACACTATTCGAATCATAATTAATGATCTTCGGAGTACCATTCAGCCCTTCATTTTATGGTGGATAAACTACAATAAGATACAGTCGTACGCTATTATATTTAAAATATAGCACTAAAACTACTGTATCACAGTGATTTCAATTCATTGTTGAATCTAAGATCAGACAGCATACTTAAATAACTTGTACTTATAAATTTTTAAATGTCTGTATAATCTCTCCCAAACTCAATTTCGGCTCACACGGAAATTATCCTTGGGTAATTTCGGAAAATTATCCTTGCGTTACTTAATTTACATAAGTAATGTTTTGTAGTAGTATTTTTTATTAGTCCAAAGTGATTTCAGTCCCGAAGGACTATTGCTTTCGTTTTGGCATTTTGCGTCAGACTCATAAACGTCGGTTCACTTTTCAAACTGTTGCCACAAAATGTTAGAGTCCTGCATTATATTTGAAGAAATTAAATAATGAAAAATCTGCATAAATGATTGTCTATTTCTCGCATTGTGATAAAACAATGGTACATAGAGCCATCGAATTTTGAATGACGAAATCCTACCAACGAATATGGGCATGTGGAAATCCCAAATTTGGAAATTTGTTTTATTATCGATTTCCTATATTTTTAAAACTTTGAACGAATTTTTGATTAACAAACTCAAGGATTTAAAAGCGAGCAATGGCAACGTTATATAGAAAAAAATACTTTTTATCTCCAGCTCGCGAGACTGTGTATATCGGAAATTCTAAAGATATGCTCGTAATTTAACATTATTTTGCGATATTGGTCTTGAACTTAATTTTATGGATTTAAGTGCAAAGAACATGATATTTAATAAAGAAAGGTAACACACAAAACGTTAAAAAACACCCCTTTGGACGTAATTTAAAATCTGAAAAATTTCAGATTTTTTTTTTTTTTTTTTTTTTTTTTTTTTTTTTTTTTTTTTTTTATTATTTTATTATTTATTTTATTTTTTTCTTCCTGCAACTCAAAAAGAACAATTTAAAATATCACGCGAATTTGATGATCGACGCAGCTAAGCTAATATACTCTGTCATCGGCAGCTGCGCGAACATCCACACATTTATTTACGACCATTTGAAATAAGTATATATTACTCTAAAAGTGGAATCGCCCAATTTAGTGAAGATTTGGTGGAACTGAAAGAAAGCGTTTCCTCTGCTACTACTGAAGTACTACATTCAACGGTAGAATGAGCGTGAACAAAACTGGAACGGAGGATAAAGATTTCTCGCTTTATGAATGAATGATATATCGGATATTCGTGAAGCCTCTAAACAGATTTTGCATTACCATTAGCTATGTTGTCCTCTCTTTTTCCATCAGAATTGCATCGACTATAATGACTTGCATATTATAACCTTGGTGCTGTTACGATTCAATGTATACAGCAAATCATACATAATTTTGTTATCAAGTCAATAAAAATAATTCGCCCTTGATAAATAGATATTTATTACTAATTAAATATAAAATTTGAGAAATTATCTTCTTATAGGAAGGTGAAGTTGAAAACATTGTAGTATTTTTTATTCAATTAAAGACTAAATTATAATTTCAGTCCTTCCTATGACTTCTCCTTCCCGTTTCCTCACCAGAATTGTAAATGAGTCAGTATTTAAGCTGATGTTTTTGGATTGTAAGACAGGGTATGTTTTTGCCTCTTGAGACCATGTTACATTAGTTCTCTGGCATCTCTGATAAATCTGTGCTTATTCGGCTTTGCGCTAATTACTGCCGAAGTTTACACTGCTAAGGCGTTTATTTTGAGTGAACTTCGATTTAAAATGTAATTGTGTTGTATTTGAATAATAGTCTACTTTTTAAATTTAAATTTGATTGTTATTTTAGTTGCATCACTACAAGTGGTGATTGATCCCTTTAGCAGAAGTAGCGCATTTATGTTCGAAGTTCTTGTTTAAAAAAAAGGTTATTTTACAACTTTTCCAAGGCTTTTTTGTAAATTTCAGACTCAGCAATAATTCGCTTTAAGACTTTTAGGAGTCTGACACTAATTTAAATCTCCCAAAGCAAGTCAAGCTCTAAAACATTCATAATTTTATTTTTGATTCACCTATTTAAAAATAATAACACTGACAACGAACAGTCAAAAAGAAGAATTAATATATTTATAGTCATGAGTATTTTCTTCCTTCTTTGTGCATGCCTTCGTGGTGTTACTGGAAGCACGCTTGATGCGTATTCGGAAGGTTAGAATTTCGAATTCCGGCGAAGGCAATGCGAATTTATTTAATTTCTTTACTTCGAAAAAATTCGAAAGGATTCTACAAATAGCGCCCGAACTAAAAGGTGGTAGGCGATAACTAGTCACTAACCAGGATTTGGCAATTGGATCGCCTACTCTCAATCACCCTTTAAAAGGGGGAATATGTATGGTATTTTCTCCCACCTTTCCACATGCCTTTGTGATTTTAGTTGAAGTACGCTCGTGGCTATTTGGAAGGTGCGGAGTTCGAATCCGTGCGAGAGCACTGCACATTTTTCACATTCCAGCATCGATATAAATTAATAACTCTACATAGTAATAAAATGAAAGCAAATAAAATTGAAAACATATTTCAACACAGCTTCTATTATTTTCTCTAGTGCTAGTTGTACTAGAAGCTTTCTGCGATGATGCCATTTCGGCTTGGCGTTAAGGGGAAATGATGCATACAGAGCGCCCCGCTTTTCAAAACTTAGTCACTAATCTAAATGATTAGTGACCCATTCCATGAAAATGCTTCATTATTATGAATAACGCTTTTTTACTACGAAATAGTGCTCTTTGAATAATCCTGCATACCTAGAGTATAATATACTGGTAAGCTTGAATTTTTAACTCCATGTTAATATTCTGTTCCCCGCTTCATAATCAAGAACATGCATGCTAGGATATTATACGTTGTTGAAAATAACATGATTTGGTAATAGTCTATAATATATCATTATTGTTCTAATTGTTCAATAAGCATATTTCTTTCCCACGCAGGAGACCAGGTGTTGGAATGGAACGGAGTCCCTTTGACGGGGAAGACCTACGAGGAGGTGCAGAGGATCATTGCCTCATCAGGAGATGAAGTCGAGATAATTATACGCAGGTAAGGATACCTTTGCTTATATTATTATGATTCCAGCTATAATTTTATACGGCGGTGTAGTCAGTTAGCAGTAGTCACTTACAAAACTGTGATGCGCTGCGCAAATGTTATAAGTGGTAAATACGCACGAGGTGAAACATGAAACCGAAACGTAAATTTTACTTTGTTTCCCTGAATTTGAATGTATCACAATTTATAATACAAAAATTTCAGTAATTAAGATTTTAAAATGCGAATGAATTAAAAGAGTTTTTCTATTTTACAAATGTCTAAAAATTCAGTTATTTTAGATTTGGTTCCTGTATAAAGAGAGACTTGAGAAATTTAAAAAGACAAGAGCTTAGTCTCCATTCTTCATGATCATATCGCCTTAAGTAATTTGTTCCTTTATAAGAAATGAATGTGATATACACTGAACTTTCTTTAAGCAGTGCTAAATAAAAGCATAATGATTAAATTTCCAGTTAGCATATATAGTCGAACCCTGCTATAACGAACAAGGCTTATAACGAACTCCTGGATTTAACGAACGAATCTTTTGGTTCCGCCCAGTTTCCCGAAATTAACACTACTTTATACTTTTATAGCGAATCTTCCGGACTAAGAAAATCGGGTATAGTGAAGCGTGTCGATATCTTTCATAGAAACTCTTTTTATACTTTTCATATGTTTTCTAAAATTTCTGTAAGGAAAAAAATATCACTAATCGTTAAATTCATCCGCATTCAGGATTTTAAGATCCCCGTTCCATTTTATAAAAGGGAAATCTTCTTTACATTATTTTTTTAAATTTTCACATTTCTTTGATTTCTAAACAAAGGCTATGTGAGACAGGTGTCACCCCCTAATTCTAGCAGAACGAGCATACAAAAGCTTATCTTAGTGTACATGGCCATTGAACGAATAAACATATATAGGTTCTCTGATTCCTGTTAAATACTTTAACGTTACATGCAGAATTCTATTTAAGGCTGATGCTATGATGGGAATTCTGAAATTTTCACTCTGCAAGGAATGTGTAAGCAGTGAAATCCACGGGCTTGAGGTTTTACAGTTGATTCTTCCTTCCGGAAGTGAAACATTTAGATCCTTATTGGTTTTGTTGACCATAAATGCTTTCCAATTTTTATTGAAACAATAGGAGATTTCGGATTCTTAATGTTTTTTTGCAAAACATGAGATATTCTTTGTAAATGTTACTAAATCTTTGTGTAGCACCATATATATCTTGGAAAACATTGTTCTAACTGGTCATTGAATAAGACACGTTGGGGTCGAAATTGTCTTCCTTTTTCATATTTTCCAGATCAGAAAACTCTCCTATAATCATTTATCGAATTCGCTGCACTCTGTTTCTGTGTCAAAAATTCAGCCGCGCATGTCGTGCTGCAAAGTAAACATTTAAAATAAGATGAATATTATTCGAAAACCACAAAATGGATGCAGCCAAATTGATGTCTGCCAGAAATACAGTTTATTAAATTTGTATTTGGTATTATATGAAAAAAACCTAAACTCTTGAACTTCTTCTAATAGAGAAAAATTTGTTGAGAAAGTTGGAGCATAAGGATGTTGAAGAAGCATTGTTGAAGAAGTTCGCTTTTGAAAAAAGCCATTATCTGCTAGGCCCTAGCAGCTAGAGCAAATGATTCAGAAAAAGGGCAATAAATTTGCTAAATATTTTGGAGAGAGAAAAAGAGTGAACAAAAATTTAATAACTGCGCTTGATAATAACTGCAATTAAATATTAATATGATTTTAATTAGTTTTTTTTTATACTCTTTGTTTGGTAGATGTAAGCATGTTAATCAGTTTCTTCCTTTACTCATCATTCAATTTTTACACGTTCTTATGAGATATTTCCTGTTTCTTATCTCGAATCGGATATAGCGAAATAAATTTCTGGTCCGTTGAAGTCATCATAGCGGGGTTCGATTGTATTCGCTTACATTTATATACTTCAAAATTTTTTAATAAAATAGAACATTCTCTTTGGAGTAATTTAAATGTGCATAGTAAATGTGAGTTATAATATGGTAAGGTTATTTATATTCCTTTTATGTAATTAAAAATTAAATTTCTTATTTTCGATGTACTTGAAAATGTATTTTCTCCTTTCATTCTCCTGTCACTGCTGATGTGAATTTTATTTACAGCAGATCTCGCGTGGTCTAATTTTTGATAAAGAAAGTGGTGATGGAAGGCCTAAGCTCTAAGTTACGCAGCTAAAATAGTCAGTTCATAAAATAACACTCAATATTCTATCTATTTTATTTAGGTCATAAATTTTATTATGAAGTGAATGGGGTGGAAGTCGCCAATGTTAGTTATTATTTTGTACACTGCACAAGATGGTTAGGCAGTCATGTATTTTTCCCATTTCATTACTAATTTTTATTGTACGAAAATCAAGATAAAAAAATTTTAATTTCAGGAGCAAGTGGTTACAGTAAGAATTTCAAAGTACAAATTAAAAAGGTATCATGGATAAACTGCTGATAATCACAATTTCATTTATTTTAAAGAGACTTACATTTCAATAAGAACACATAGTAATATTAACATTGCAATATCTAATTAAGATGTCTTTATTTCTACTTTCCTTGAATCTTGAATCTCTTCTTATCTTGAATCTTGCCTGCTATTATAGTTATCCACCGTTACTCCCTAGGCCTCAAATCATTTAATGCTTCTGGAACTGCTGTCTGTGTCGTTTTCTGCAGCTTTCAGGTGGTCGGTAACGAAGTTCGGCTTTACACTTCACAAAACTCTCATGCGAACGCTTGGTTACTTTTAAGAAGTTACCATTGTTGATGGGTGGAAAGCGGAAGTTTCGGCCTGACATTCACAAGTAGTTTGTGGAAGTTTGTTTTAATTAGTAAAACGACGATAGCCATAAGATGGACGAATCCAATTTAAAATTTAGTATAATTCGCTTTCTGAACGAAAGCGGAATTTCTTGAGGAAAGATTTTTAAAATTTTTACAATGTTGGAGGGATTCACAACGTACACAAGTAAATGCTGTAAATATTATTACTCATCTGCGAAGTGCATTTTTATGAATACCATAATTGTTGACCAAACTAGTTTACCAGTAGTCATCTTTTATTTTTATAAATAAAGCAAAAGAATTTTACGATAATCTTTGTAACTGAACACGACAAAATGAAATATAAAAACAACAAGAGTTATTATATTTCATTTTGTCTAACACATCATGTAAGAAAGAAAGGGTAATTTTAAACATAATCTGTATATCCAGGCTTCTACATTAATCTGTAACGAAAGTTTTCTTAACTGATTCTTGAACATAGTTGATTATCGTTTGCTTGTAGTTACACTTTCATTTTCTTTCAGCGACTTCAACATGTTAAGTTCTCGGTCATCCTCCCATCAGCATCATCACCATCACCATCAACAGCAGCAGAACCAGCATCAGTCTCGGTTGTCCAGAAGTAGCGGTCACCACGACCAGCATCACCAGCAGAGTCACTCGCGGTCTACAAATTCGTCCTACCATCACTCAGGCAGCTACAGGACGTCAAGGGGCGACACCGACGGTTACAATAGGAATTATGATAGCGCGGATTTCTTGAGATCACCTGTGGATGAAGGTAATAAATGCAGAACTTTTTCAGCATGTTTCAAAAAAGAGGTACCCAAGTCTGTAGGACTGTAGGAAAGCAAACAGCAATAGATTAACGTTTTTTATTACTGTAGAGATTCAGAATTTGTTTGGATGGATTGCTAAAGGGCTATTGGTACGACTGGTAGAGGAACACTTGCCACAGTATTATTTACTAGCAGTGCAGATTCAACAGAAATTTCAAGCAGAAATTCTTGAACATAGTTGATTATCGTTTGCTTGTAGTTACATCTTGTATATTCGACCTTTTGTAAAACTCCTTAAAAGAATCTAACTGTGCAATTCCCGTGAATCCCAGAGGTCCAGCTACAAGCGTACTGACACCAGTCTTTTGCCTGGAAAGTGTTCCTTGATTTTATATCAGGCAATGAGGAAATATGATGAGTCGTACGAAACATGTAAGAAAATATTCATTGGGGCGACATTTTAGTTGTAATGATTTGTCTGTAACTGGTGCCATTTCACCACATTCAAAGACCGCCAGAAAATATTTTGCAGCATTGAAAATAGCCATCTTTGAATGGTGTGACGTATAATGACGTTCAGATTTCCGTTGGAATAATAAATTAACGTAATAAAAAATGTAAGTTTTCTAGGGGGAGGGGGTAGACGCCTATTTTTCACATTAGCCCAGTACCCAGTATTTGTACAGTTTCTAAATTATTCTTTTTCATGTCTCAAATTTATGTACCCTCTTTTGAAACATGTTTTCTAATATGCTCTTACCAAATTTTAAGGTTACTGAAATAACTTTCCGAATTACTGAAAGCACTCAAGAAGTTCCAATTTAAAACTTTTTTCATCTAAAGTTAAAACTTCATTTGTTTCAACGACATTTTCCTCTTACAGTCCATAATTCGAATTACATGGATCCATATCGAGATTCGGAACGTTGTGGATCGGCTTCCCCTCCCAGGGGTTACCGGACGTCACCTCCAAGACAGCAGCGAATAGGCTCACCTATTGGCAAAGGTGATAATTCGGACAATAAGGTATGATTCAAAAATTTATTTTACCTGTAAATGATATAGCAATCGCAGTGGAAGAGTATTATTTTGTTTCTACTTACATATGTATGATTTAAAACAAATGAATGAAACAAATCTTTTCTTTTATTGAAAAGATTTATTTCCTTCATTTTTATGTCTCTTTTAAGTTTTGGTTGAATATTATTCCATAGATCCATAGATATCCATAGATCTTCCCATTTGATACTACAGAGTTCTCCAGTGAAATTTAGTAAATGGCTACTTTTTCTGTCAACTTTCGTCAACACAATTTTCGTACTATAAGAAACAGTATCTTACGAATGCCGGAGATGGTTGACAAGCATCTGTATAATAATAGATTGTCAACTGCAGTTCCCTGAAGTCCAGCCGTGGCAAGAGAACAAAATTACCTAATTTTACATTATGCTTCTTATTATTTGATAACCATGACTTTCCAATGCTTGTGTATTTTTGTACTTTTGTCCAAGAATTTATAAGTGGATATGCAGTTTTTAGATATATATAATCCATACGTAGAATTCTGATTACTGCAGATCAAAACATACTTGCTATAACTTAATGTGTCTCATGAGGCCTAGGTTAATTTTCATTCTCATTACCTTACAACATATTTTAAAAATCAAGGATACAAATATTTTATGTTACAGTCTTAAAAATACGAAGACATAAAATATTTTACTAAAATTTATTCAAGTAAACATTTTTAATTTTTCATGTGTAAACTAAATTTGGTCTCGTTCTGGTTACATATTCAAATCTGTTTACAAAATTTACTCTACATAAATATTGCCTTGAAATAATCAATCTGAATAACACGTTTGAAATATAAATACGATTTTTATTTTGCACTCTTAGATGCATTTCTAAATATTCGTTTACTGAAATATACGCCACGTTACAAAGCCCCAACAAACATTAAATTCTCCTGTTACAGAACATTGAGTTATCAATAGCAAATTAATAACTCCTATAAGATTCCAGGTGAACGGTTATCTGAGAGACGTGGGTTGAATTAACGCATATTTGCACATATGAACCAGTTGTGAGAACTTAAATTTTTACATGTATTTTAGTTCAAATCCTATTTTTCATTTATGTGAATAACTAGAAGACTCGTGGATTCATTATTGAAAATAGTTCGTTTTAATGGTCTCCTTCTGGCATTAAATTCTTCCTAAAAGTTTCTGAATACAATTTCAAATCACTCTGCATAGATGAATTTATGAATATTTCCAGGTTAGGCTTTTATTGTATATAAACCAAAACACTTATCATATTACAAAGAGTGTCTCAATGAAAACGCAGGATTTAATATGACCAAAACAGTACTTTATTCTTAGAAAATGGGAAACATGTTTACATACAGCAAGTTAAATGTTCCGATTTGCTGTGATTTGTCACGACTTGCTGTAAAGTACCTCACTATTCAATGAAACTCGTAATCACTTTTTCACATATCTCCTTACTGAGTATGGCTAATGGCAAATTTCATTCCGTTTTTCTTTCTTCCGTTGTTAGTCTTTCTAGGATTCTAAATTCGGAATTTTTTGGGACTCAACACTCTCAAATAAATAACACTTACGCATAATATCGATGTTTTCAACACACCGGCTGGATCGAGATGAGGTGATTTAATACCTGCTATCGATGGGTCCTCAAATTTTTTTATCACTCTGTGAACTATTGTTTCATTAGACAGACTTTCAAATTCAAAGATTACACGAAACTTCCTTAACAGTTTGTGCATAACACGCTCCATTCTCGTAATGAGTTTTCAAACCTTGCTGTTCTTTTGCTGAATGTTCCATGTTAACAATGTCGCAAAATAAATTGAAAGGGATAAAATACAATTGTTGCCAGGTTAAAACATCCTGAAAACAAAACATTGCCTGTTTTATGTGCCTAAAAATAGTTTCCATTTTCTAAAAATATTTTTTGGAGGGAGGGGGGCATGTTAAATACTACTCTTTTATTGAGACATACTGTACAAATGTTTTATATGTGTAAATCTGTTTGCATTTATATAAGTGTAAAGATTCTAGATGTTTAAAAAATTATTAGAAGAATTTAAAAGCTAGTTATGTTTAAATTCAGTGCTTATCACTACTTAATTCATTTGTTTATCTCAGATGTTTTAATAGAAGCGAAAACTGTTTATGTTTCTAAAATTCAGAAATATAGTTTTACAAAAGTCAGAATTAAGTTTTTCAAATCCAGATATCAGAAGTTCAGAATAACCTTATGTATTCAACCGAACGAATATGCAAATCATTTCGGGCTTTTTGTATGATGTTAGAAATAGTAATGACTGATTTTACTCTCAGCTTTTAAAATTTGAAATCTTTTACGTTTTGCAGCAAAAAATCGAAACTTCTCCAGTCAAAACTCAAATTCATGTACACTGCTGTTAAATGTGTGTGAAAATGAATGTTATAGGAATCGTAGAAACTACTAGTTCTATTACATAATTAAAAGTATGTTCTGTTCTAATGAAATTAATGTTTTGAAAGCTTCAAATATGATGATACATTTAATGCCTGACTTAAATTAGAGACTGCCTTGGTAAAAACATCACCTCACTAGCTGAAGCTCTTAAAAAGCTTTCACATGCAAAACGAGTTTGCGCTCATGCAGAGGAAACTTTTTCTATTTTTAATTAAAATTGCTTTTATTAACACACACAGTGCTTCAGTTACAAGAAAGAATATCATAAAAGGCAATTTAAGCTTAGATAATTCTTTTACTATACAAGTACAAGTTGAGAAATATGGTTAAATGCTAATCACATCGGATGATATCATTTATGGGTAGTCATTGGAAATTTAAGTTTTAATACTGGATACCGGTATATAACATTACTAATTTTTATTGCCGCAAACCTTTCGTCATTTCGGACACCTCCAGTCCTTATAAATGATGGTACACGAGCATTATTGCGAGTCTTTTAGACGACGTTTCTCTTCTAGACGTTTACCTCTTGCAAGTTTTTGTTTAACCGACGGCAACGATGCAGTAAGAAAATATCTATCCATTCCCATTACTTTAATAACATATTCAGCTATGTGTAATCAATGGTCGCTTGCAACTTTTGTGACTACGAATGTTTGTTTAGGCAATGATCAGGTTCCTACTAGGTGATTGCGTTTGTAGCTAAGCGTCTGTATTGCAACTGTTATTTGTTACTGGGCAAGGATAAATTGTAACATGGGCGAAATGCAAGCCCAGCAGCCTACCTGAAGCCGAAACTTTATGTTGCACGTTGAGTACCATTTTGATTAATGATATAAGCTCAAGCACCTAATTCCTATTTGAAATTATTCACATTTAATGTATAACTAATAATTTTTTTCTCTACAGTATACATTAATACGTTATATTTACTTCAGACATGCAGCCATATTTTTGGCATATCTTATAAGCACTTCATATAGATACATTGCAAGTTATTTTTTTATATAAAAAGAATCTTTAGAAACTGTGAAAGTAACAGCAATAAAACAGTTATACGTTGTGCCTTAACAGTAATTTTCTTATTTTGAGCAAAGAAAACCATCATCCAAAAATGGCTGAGGCGTTCCATTGCGACCACTGCGAGGGCGATAATAAGTGACAAACAATTTCTTTTCGTCATCCTTTTCGTCTTTCATTTGTCCTGAATTTGCAATTAATAACGCGATTTTTTGCCCACTCATTCATTGCTTTAACATGCTGTTTCAAGAGCTGCGATTATGCGATATTATCGATGGCTAAAGATTTACAACACATGTAAATCATAGAGATCTGGGGCTCAATGCCTATGAATCTATGATTACGTTTCAAGATAGATAATAATATATATGCATGTGATCCGACTTAATAGTCACTACACGATGTAGAACCTTCTGGAAAAACCTCCCAATTAGGCGGGAGGTAGGATCCAGGCAAAATGCTACCTTCGAGATGCTTCTCACGTCTCACTGGCTGAAGCCCAGTTCCATACATACCGGGCGACAGACATATTATAGTCTCCTTTTACCCACCATTAGGCCCTGCCTCGCAGTGTCATCACTCCCGGTTCTCGGACCTCATGATGAGGTGCAGCTGTATGAGCCTGAAGATCTGACTGGTCATCTAAAATGCTACTCACCCGTACTAAGCGGACGAACCCCCACCCGTGATCCAGCCACCACCACCCATCCCCGGAGTACAGAGTTCTTACCTCTCTCCTCATCAGAGGCACTTCGTCCTTTAGTTGGCCAACCATCAGGTGAGGTACCGATATGGATCGATTCTATTTCCCCCTTAGTCCAAACGTATCAAACGATCTTCGCTCGGTGTTCTGGAAACGCCGGGCTCATGTCTTTATCCCCCAGTGTCGAGACTCCCAAAGTACAGATAAGAGCCGGTACAATAAAGGATTGACGGAGGAGTTCGAGGATAAAGGCATTCATTTTTACAACTTATATTAAATGAGTCTGATCACTGCGTTAGCCGAGACATAAATCTAATCATATTAGAACAAAGGAGTCACGAAGGCTATGATCCTATTCGTCTGTCCAATCTGTGTGGTATTGTTTCAGCGTATAAAAAGATTAGAAAACTAACTGCAGTTCTTTTTTTTATCGCAGGAAAAGTACCGGGCAGAAGATATATCTGGTGAAATACAGGTAAGAGTCTTACAAACCGTGAACTTTTCTCATTTTGTAATGGTAGTTGTATTACTTGATACCCGTAGTTTATTCATAATTTTGTTCCTTACAGCTCCAAGTGTGTTACGATTCGAAAGCCGCCATCTTGTATGTGACGATCGTGCGCGCGAGGAATTTAGTGACATCCAGAGATAACAGCGGCCTTCCAGATCCCTATGTAAAGTGTTACTTATTACCAGATCGGTGGTAAGCAGGAGTCCCTTTTTTTTTTTTTTTTTTTTTTTAACTGCAGTTTACATTGTCATACCTTTTGAAATTTTTGTTTCTTTTTTTTTTTTTTTTTTTTTTTTTTTTTTTTTTTTTTGTTAAAGTGACCATTGCATAAAGCGTTTGAAGATATTTGAGATTTTCATATGTCGAATTGGGAGATTAAGTTTGTCGATTTTGGCGACTAAGCGGGGTGATCGCTTTCAGAGCCGGGTTTACGTATAAGCTACACAATATATAGCCTAGGGCCCCCACTTTCTTGGAGCCCCCAAAAAATTAAAATATAGTATAAACAGTATTAAAATATATTATAACAGATTTATAAAGGGCCCCATATCTCAAATAGCATAGGGCCTTAGCAAGTCTAAATTTGGCTCTGATCACTTTAACAAGGAATGTATTGTTCTAAATTTATGTGTATTAGTTAGGTATTCTTATAATTGCTTTAAATATTTTTGATGATTTTATTTACATTTATGTACAAAAAAACTTTATTTTACTGAACTATTTTACAAATAGACCGTCTTTGCCAATTCTAGGTAAAATCAGCGCATTTTTCCTAATCGCATTGTCACATTTTCACTATCTAGCAGAATATTTAAAATGTTTTTTATTATAATATTGAAATTAGATCAATTACAGTAATACAATGACTTCTAAGTGTTCAATCATAGTAGTATATCTAAACTCTACCTCGAGATAATGACTTACTTCCTAAATCAAATAAAATGAAGCTTCTTATTAATTTGTTTATGTATTTTAATCTTTTTTTTTAATTTCAACAACTTACGTCTGAGATCAGATATTGTATCTTGTTAACTAGTCCGCTGCCAATAGATGGATGGCCCATGCTAGCACATCTTTATACATGATCCTTTGAGCTTGTAATTAAAGCTGAAATTAGCCATTTGCAAGAAAATGTTCTCCACATCCCAGTTTGGTAAACAGGCAAATCATTTAAGGCTGCTCAATCATAAACTTGTAGTCTTCAGGACTACTAATAAAATTCCAGTCCAGGCTTTTCCGGTCCCTGTAAAATTTTGCTGAATTTTCTCATTATCAGTAGACTTGATAGTTACTTCCGAATCAATGATAATTCTCCTAATAAGTAAAGTTAAGTTCCTAATAAATAAGTAAAGTTTGGAATAATTTTTAGCACACTGTTTTGTAATTTTTATAACAGCAACTTCTCATGCAGACGAAGCTTACAGTTCAATTGATTGAATCATCTGCAGGTAGATAACTCTCTTAGTTTTAATGCTTAATAGAGTTATAAAATCTAGTTATAAAATAAGTACTCTATATAACTTATTCTACTGATAAGCAATATGATTTTTTAATATTAACTTTTCATCAAGAGTAATATTTAAGTCCTATCTGTGTGTTTAACAGTACTTACTATTGTGCCAGTAAAATAATAAGATTAATTTTAGCAAGTGAACTATTTTTATAAAGGAACCAACAGCGCCTTTTTAAGTGTTAAATTTTAATCAAACAATTCACATTTTGAAGAAGTATATTAAATTCATTCAGATAATTACGTATGCTAAATAGAATTACGTATGCTAAATCATAATGTTATCAACAATAACATTAATGGGAAGTAACAAGTACTCTATATCCATTGGTTTATTTTTCTACTTCTCATATTTAAGAAAACGATAGTTTTTTTCTTTGAATATCAGATGGCCAAAGAATGACTTAAATCATTCTTCAGCTGAAGTGAGATTCCTAATTTAAAACCTTCATTAAACAAACATAGTGAACATCATGCCAATTTCTATCCATTCATATAAATTCCTTTTACAATATGTTTTATAATTCCGTACAGTTTTACTTTCTATCAGTCTTTTGAGGTACATTGTGTTTTTAAGTGTCGACTTAGGTAAAATAAATTGCATTTTGTAATTTTAATTGAAATAGAAATGTGTTGTCTGTTTAAATAAATGAAACATAATTTCTTTGCTTAATTTGTTTGAAAAATTGTATTTTGAATTATTTTTACAGAGTTCTTTCCATTAAGATTCTTTTACTTTTTAAAATATTATAATACTTTTAACTTCTGTATTATTATACAAAGGAACCTCGGATCACGAACGCCTCACTTCACGAATAATTATATTCACTAAAAAATCATCGGAACAAAAAAACACCTCAGATGATGAGATACTCAAGTTAACAACATATGATTTTTCGTTAACCTATGCTGCATAATTAACACACAGAAACTTCTAGAAACATCATTTTAATATTTTCCATTGCTCAACTCTTATTAATAGAGCCTGCCAGCAAGTGACTTAACAGAATCATGAATTCGACTTGGAGGCAGTTATGGCCAGATTGCATTGCAGACAGAGGCTTCAAGCGATTTGATATTTAGGACGTTTCTGTTATCTACGATTTTGAGTCGAATGGAAGCCAGTGAGTCTCAAGCACAGTCTATTGTCCCTTAAACGCAAAAGAAGATGTCTTCTTAAAGACTTAAAGTCGATAAAAGAAGATGTCTCCTTAAAGACTTTACAAGATGTTTTATAGAAGATAATTTCGCATAATACCTTTCCACTTATACTGTCCAGTCTTCCTCACAAATGTACAGTAAAACTAAATTAAGTTTTTGTTTTTTATCTTTTTTACACTATATTTATCTTTTTCGTTTTATATTTAATGATCTTCATTGGTCTTTGATTACGACATTGTGCACAAAAAAATTGTTTTGGTTTGCGAACATTTCGGTCAACGAACGGTTTTAACAAATTAAGTTCATGAACCGAGGTTTCACTGTATAACAATATTTATATATCTTATAAACTGTTGATCTTCCCAATAGCTCAGAATTTTTTTACTAATTTTACATTTAAATTAGGACTTTAAATAATAGTACAGTTATCCTCGAGTTAAAGAAAGAATTCCGTATGTCTCAATTTAAATAAAAATCCAGAAAATTTATCTTAAAAAGAAAGACGTGTCTAAATCTTAGGCAGATGGAAACTAAATCCCTATCATAAAATAACCTAGAGGCTCAAATGAAAAGAACAAGGAGAAAGTTCTCGAGAAAATTAAAAATACAACTTCAGCGAACACACGGGTGATAAGATAACAAGAAATCCTTGTTGCTCATATATACGTGTAATTGTATATTTTCAATATGCTCTACAAAATCAGGCAATTGGCTTTAACGTGACATTCACTTTATCATGGTGAGATGAAAGCGAACATAAAATTTCTGGGTTTAATTCTCTCTATAATTTGATTCTTTTTTAACAAAACGATAGCTTGTATACCACTTTTGATAATTTTACTAGTTCTGGTACAACAGAAGATCACGGACTTCGTAATACTTCAAGGCCACAAGTGTGATTACAAACTGATAATATTTAATGAAATATTGGAGAATTTGAAATTTTTTATATTGATTCTTCTTGAATATGAATCGGTGTTCAACAGTTACCTCCTTACTCAGTTGTTCTAAATGTTTAGGCAGAGTGACAGCAAGGGTCACTATTGACGTAGTCGAAGAATTCTCTTAACTATTTTCAATTTAAACTATTGTATGTTTCATCTCTTAACTGTTCTTTGCCAGCGTGGAGAACCAGAGGCGAACGCGGTACTTTTCCCGCTGCAGCAACCCGGAGTGGAAACAGACCATGGTTTACCCGAACGTCCCTCAGGATCAGCTGAAGAAAAAGCACCTCGAGATATCTGTTTGGAACTACGACATCAATAGGCCCTCCGAGTTTCTTGGAGAAGTAATACTTGATCTAAAAGGTGATTGATATGCATTATTCTGTTAGCTGGTTTTTCATCTTCTTGAAAGTATCCCACATATATTTCCCTGACATTTACGCTGCAAAAATTAACTTCTTACTTCCGTATGTAAAAATAGATAGTTCAGGTCCCTCAGAAACTCGAAATAAAAGGCCATAGCCCTCGAGATCATATTCACTTGTAAACTGTTCAAATGTTTATATTTACTATCTTTTTTTATTTATTATGGTCAATATTTTACAGTATTTTAGTCTTCAAATATTGAAGCAAACTTTCCTCCACATACGTTATCGAAGCCTCACAAATATTTTGTCATTAAATTACCTCCGCCATAAAACCACTCAAAATTCTTAAAATAATGAAGCTGTATCCTCAGAAAATGAAATCTTCTCATTTTGTTGTATTGTTCTCTTGTCGTTACGGCATAAAGATGGTGGAACCATTATAAAATCGAGTTCCTGAGGAAAGTAACTCTCATCAAAGCTGTCGTGAGCGTCCATACGAAGACATTAACTATGGCAAACTTGCCGAAGTTGGCAACAACGTTATTTTCAAGTTGCCCATCGTTCTCCAAGTCACAAGGGTGTCCTAACATAAAAATCATAAATGTGCCGACACTCTTATGAAATTATGCATCATGAAGAAACCAAACTTCATCAAAGCTGCAGGCACACCCGTGTGAAGATCTTAATCATGGCAAACAGTTGCCTAGTTGCATAAACGTTTCAGCACCTTTATAAAATTTTCTGAAATCATTTATATGGCAGGACATAAAAAACTCTTGCTTTTTACTTCCTTGAACAAAGTAAAAAGTAAGTATTGTAATCGCGAAAACTTTCAGGCAGCATATTTCAACGAAAATATCCATTTTGACCGCTTTCGAATGCAATTTAACGATGTTTTTGAGTGATATCTGTACGTAAGGACAGAATAAAATACTCTTTTCCTTCATAAAAATTATAAAACTGCTTTAAAATTAATTCTGAAGATAATTTTTCGTGGCGTCTGTACGAACGTATGTACGTACGTGCGTACGTACGAATCTCGCATAACTCAAAAACGAAGAACATATGCCTCAGAACGTTGAAATTTTGTATATAGGACTGCTATAACATGTAGATGTGCACCTCGTATTTTAGTTGCAATCGGCCGCGCAAAACGTATATATATATATATATATATATGGATATATATATATATATATATATATAACAATAGTAGTGGATATATAACAAAGCGGGTAACTTTGTTACCCGGCTCAGTGATCTCAGTTTCTTTACTCTTATATGTTTGTAAATTGTACATTTTTTGCTTTAAAAATGATTGAATTTGATTGAATTATGTTGTTCTTATCTTCCGGTTAAGGTTTTCATGCCTTTAGTAAATCTGTATGCAATATCTTTAGAATTATCAAGAATTTTTAAGTTGTTAAGTGCCGCTAAGCCTAATATTTTTTTTGATGGCGGCCATGTTTGCTTACATTTGAAATTTGGCAGAATAGCGGATTTGTTGCGAATTTAAAGAAACTAAGCTTCAAAATAGCAACGATAACGCCGTCTTTTATTATTGCGAATTAAATCATGCTTAATCCATTCTGGAATTTATTCGAGGAAATAAGTGTTTTAAGATTTACTTTGTAATTTTTCATGTAGATATTTTGAGTTTTTATGTATTTTTGCCTTGTTGAGAAGTGAGAACTGAATTAATTGAATGAGAAATACTGAGTCGTCTGTGAAATCTGTTTCTTTTTTGTTTTGTTTGCTTAATTTCTTTTATACATCGTTTCAGATTTATTATAGTATTTGAAGAGAAAATGTGGCAACGATTAGATAATTCTTTAAATGATATAAATTTTGTGCATTCTGAGTTATAATATGAACGAAATATAATACTGTTAAGTGAACCTAGCACCAGAGTGTCGCTATAGTAAACAAATACTAGAGTGAATTTTAAAGAATGCATTTATTCTATTTTGGTTTATGCGCTGTCGGCGAAGTAGATTTAATTCAATCCAATAAGTTTAAACGAAATGCAATAAAAAATGCGTATAATTTAATATTCCGTACAAGGAAGTCATGTGGTGTACACGTCAGATTTTTTTATACCATGTGGTTACGGATTAGACTCAGCAGTTAATAACTTGTGACCAGCTAGATGAGGCTTCAACCGTTGAGTTAATAGTTTATCTAATGTTGAGTTAATAGTTACTAATAGTTTATCTTTCGATTTTTTTAATGTGTCATTAAGTCTCTTTCTTTAAGTTTACGTCTCTTTCTGCAATCTAGAATTATGGTTTGTGTTTCATCTCTTTTAAGCCATCAATATCAGTTAACGAAGTATGATCACATACTTAGTCATTCTCTGGAAATTTCCCGAATCCCAATAAACCGGGATCATCACTGCATCCACTCTATGAAGCACAATAACTAATACAATATATTTCTTTAGATACGTCTGTCATCGACGAGCAGTCCCGGTGGTACAAACTTCATCCTCACGATCCCAAGAAATATCCGAGTCACTCGTCCACCCTGAACAACGAAGGGGCCATGAAAATGGCAAGACTCAACAACCCCGCTCAAAAATCTCTTTACTTCGAGAACGGGGGAGACGACATCAGAAAGGTAAACGTTTCCCACTGTCTCACTGTTTGTGAAGTACGCTTGGTGTAAGCACGCTATAATGCACTCATCTGTCGTTCGCTGTCGTGAATGACACATTACTTTCTGCTATTGGTCAGATATATGAAATAAAAATACAAATGCCACAGAAAATTAATCAAAACATATTTTTTTTTAAGTTTCAGTTGATAAATTAAATTTATTTATAATTTTCTGCATTCATCAAACTCAAGTTATTGATTTTAGTTGCAATCATGTTTATCTTATGACTTTAATTGTAGAGTTTTCTTGTTTATTATGTATTTATTTTATTCTTATATGTTCTTCTTTCTTTTGTTTTTCCGGCCCACCAGTAGTAAGTCCTGAATCGCGCAAAATAATCTACTTCTTAACAACAGTTTTTTTTTTTTTTTTTTTTTTTTTTTTTTTTTTTTTTTTTTTTTTTCGAATGCACGAAAGATTTTTCTAAAATTAGCAGCAGTTTCAGACTGACTGTTGTCGAATTTTGAACTTGCAAATGGATTTCACATTGGTCTACTATTCTTTTACTGTTTCAAACTTTTGTAATAACACTGAGAGTAACATTAATGACATGGGATACGATTTCAATTTAGAGACAGTTCATTACCTCTCTTATTTAAATGTATGAAATTTGTTAGTAAAATCATCACATCAAATATTTAAATTCCTACTGAATTCTCCTGAAAGTTTAGTTCCTACTGAATTGCACACTGGTTCAGTCTTTGAGATTCCTAAAGATTTTCCTTACCATTAAAAAGAAGGAAAACTAAATATGCACGAAAGTAATGTACATAAATTAAATATTTTGCTCTTAAATTAATGCTATAAAAGATACCAACCTTATGCATGCACAAATTATATTTAGATTCTAAAATTATTTAAAAGAAATTGCTCACGGAAAAAAAAAGACTTAAATAAAATGAAAAATTGATAAAAATAAGCACTTTTTATAAACTAAAAAGATATTATTTTCATTATCTTTGATTTAATTTGGTTTAATATTAAATAGCACTTTGATATTTTAAAAAGATCTGCTATATTGCGTTCCCTTATAAAAATAAAGGGAAACAAACATTCTCATACTATTTAAATTTAAAGCTAAGCTTTATGAATTATAAAAAATAACTTTATAAAAGTTTAGTAAATTAGATTATGACAATATTTTAGTTTATTTTATTATCACAGAAGTAGAAATATTTTCCTTTTTGGCTCTTGTTCCTAATAACATATGATGAGCAAATATGGTAAGAAACTCTCAATAAATATAAAGGAATTGCTAGTTACCTGACGCAATGGGTTCTCTTTCTTATCATTTATTAATTGTTATTAAAATTATTATTCTATTCAGCAGTTTTTTTATATTTGATGTTTTGTGTTGCTAAATTTCTTCTAATGCTTTTAATTGATGCAATCTGAAATAACGTAGCATATACGTATACTCATAAAGCTTGAAATTTAAATGTTGTGTGCTATAAAATTATATATGTATATTTATCTTGGTTCAAAAATGTGTTGTTATGTAAAACGGTTAAATGGAAAGAATGTGTTAACTATTGTTCAATGTGAAATGTTTGTTAAGAAATGTGCATGTTCAGTGCAAAAACTAAAACCAAATAATGAATGTATTTAATTAATCAATTATTATATTATATGTCAGATATGTGATTTAATGTCTTTCTTTGATCATCTCGCAGTCACGCTATTTCTTCTTTTCATTAAAAGTTACAGTTTTTTAAAACTTCAAATAAGATCATTGAGAAAATATTACACATTCTCAGTTTTAGGAAATTTATATCGAAATGTATTAACATATAAATTCGACTGAATACATACTTAATAACATATGCAAAAAGAAGAAACTAAATATATTATATTATAACTAAATATATTATATTATAAATATATATTTTATTCTAATGCATGTACTACTATTTCCAACTCTTCCACGCTCAGTTTTTTTAATTTATAAAAACTTGTTTCTTTTTATATTGTAAATATGTGGCAAGTTAGAGGTATTCTCATTATGTATTCTGCTGATATAATTGTTAGCAGATCCATTTTACATTTGGAAAATTTATATTCAAGAAACGAAAAGTGACGAAAGCATATTTGATTTTTCAAGCTTTTCTGCTCCAAAACCCGAATGGCTCTACAGGGTTCCCCTGACTAAAAAACGGCAGTTAGAATTCATCATCAGCGAGATTTATTGAGTATCGCCACCTCCCTACAGTTTTTCCTTTAAGTATTAGCAATGTTATTTTATCTATATGCTTTTTTATTGTAGTAGTTAACACGTCTTTCTAATAATTGGAAGAGATGAGTTCAATCCCCAGTCGGGGCATATCATATAGATGATTTTTCAAAAGTTCCAGCTTGAAAAACCTAAGAAACAGGTCTGTCACTTTGCCAAATGTAGATATATGTAATACATTTTAAAAGTTTATTTTTACTAAAATATTTCATTGAAATAACGCAAACAAATCTTGGAAGGAATCTTGGAATCTTAGCTTGCTGCTATGCCATATTAATTATCTGCCTAATTGCGTAAGTAATTAATGCTTTAAAAATAAACAGATACCATTTTAATTCAAATGTTGAATGGTCATAGCTGATGTAAACATTATTTATCAGTTGTAATGATAGTTAATATATGAATATAAGGATGAAGTAATTTGAAAGTACGTGTAGAAAAGGAAATTGGATATTTATAGAAATTGGATATTTATTGGTATTTAGAAGAGAGAAACACTGAAAAGAGTTGTTTATTATTTTACCTCCTTTAATTTCCCCATTTCCAGAAGTAATGATGGCTCCAGCTTTTTAACGAATATAAAAGTCATAAGAAATGGATAGAAAAGGAAATCTGCCATATGAATGAAGGCTAAAATTCGTAGAAATTTCGAACGATCCTTGCATGCTATCCTGTAGGTGTAGGTGATGAGATCATATTCAAAATCAAATATACGATATTGTTTTCTTCTGAGTGTCACAGTATCAAAATTGTGTACATAGGACAGACGGATATGGATAGAAAGTTTATATCTGTTAGAAACATCAAGATGTATGGATACTTTGGAAGTTATTATAGGCCTGGATACTAGTCATTAAGTATAACTTTAATAATAATCGTTATAGAATAAGAGAGCTACAGTCTATAAAATGCTGTCTGTATTCACTGTATCACATAATCCCATCATCGTGTCACCAAACCATTAACCAAAACAGCCCAAATGCTACTGCTAATGAAACCTTTAGCATTAAAATTCTCTTAATATAAACTTAACTTCCTCTGCATAAATTTAAGTCTTAGTATTCTTCTAATGTAAGCTTCTACTGGAACTCAGACCAATTTGTTTTAATGAAACGTTTGACCATGAATTTTCTCAATGGAAGTTTTAGTCTTAAAATAAAGTTAAACATCAGTCTCAAAATTATTCTTATATGAGTACCTGCCTTAAAATTAGACCAACGTTAATTTTAGCCAATGAAATGTTATGTTACAAGTTTTATGGATTTAACAATTTTTGCAATGTTTAGTCTGAAATTTCCATCGAAACTTTCTGAATATTTTTTTTTCATTCAGTGGAAGCATTAATACATCTACATAAAAATTAATAGTAACGCGAAGAAATAACTGCTTGCGAGATGGTTTCTAAAGAAATGGCTTGCTGTGCATATTGTATGTATAATTATTGGTGTTTTGCTTTGAGTATTGTGTTGTAATTGTTTTGTCCTTTCTCATTGTGCATGCAGCAGCAACACACTGCATAAGTGCGGGACAACTTCCTCCTAATAAAAGTATATTTCTTCTTTCTCTTTCTTTTAACTTCTCTAATCTTCTCTGCTATGTGATCAGTGTTGCCACTCATAAGTATTATAAAAACACTTCCTACGAAAGGAAGTACGCATGAAATATTTCTGTCGTAGAATACGAGGGTAGTTTAAAATATTCAAATAAAATAAGGACACTACAAAATGATGTTACAAATACCGAAAACTTTTCAATACTAATTTATTCTTATTCAACTGTGAACCAAACATATTAGACGCGAAATGCGCACCATGTTCTTTTTTTTTCCTACGTGTGGTAAAAGATAAGCTTATAAAAGGAAAAAAGCTAGCATTTCATGTATGCGTTAAACGAGATTAACATTTTTAAAAAAATTCCCTTCTATAAAGCAGAGGAATGCAAAATTAATTCCATATTACCTTCGGAAGCAAAGAGCTCGTCAATAATAAAGATCAAGTAATAAAAATAAAAAAGAAGATATGTACAGGTGGTATGCATTCAGTCGAGATTGTCATAAATTGAAATAATGCATTAAAGTAAGCGGCATAATCAAAATTAACTCTTTTTATCATGATTCAGTTTATAGCAAACACATAATAAAAAAATTAAAAAGAATGTAAAATGGGTAACAAAATGGAATGGGAAAATAAAATAGAATCAACAACTTGAAACTGAGTTGCTTAATAAACATGCCTTAATAAAAGACAATATTCGCATTTTAAATTAGTGTTAAATTCAAACTTCTAGTGGTAAGAGAAAAAAAGAGCAGAAGTAGGATGTTAGTATTCCTAATAAAATAAAGAGCAGAAGTAGGGGAGTAAAACAGCAAAAGTAGGATGTTAATAGTCATTTGTGTAAAGCAGTTATAATAGAATTCCTTTAAAAGATACCTAGCCACATTAGATAAAGCAAAGGCGACGATAACACTGGCATTTTGGTTGAATACAAATTTAAAGGATACGGCGTTCTTAAGCGAAACTAACTAGAAGTATGAAACGCATAAACACGGGGGGGGGGGTACAGTCGACCTGGAAAACAAAGAAAATCAAGAGACACTGCTAGAAAAATTTTGCTTAATAAAAATATTGTTTCAAAATTAGTTATCCGATTAATCAACTCGAAAAAATTAATCGAAAATGCAGTGAAATTTAATTAATCTGAAATCAGATCATTCCGAATTTCGGTTAATCTGGACAAAACGAAAGTCTCTAGAATTTCAACTATAAGGTATTTCTCTCGTCTACTTAGCGAGCTTTCGGGGTATAGTGGTCTGCACGATCAGCGCTTAATTGAGAGGTCCGCGTTTCGATTTCCGGCGAAGGCGTTGCATATTTTTCCATCTCTCTTGATACCACTTTTCAAACGGATTAAAGCACACATCGGTAATAGTGGCAACGAGCTCGCAGATGAATTAGCAAAAGAGGCATCAAACAGTTCTTCCCTTCCAAATTACTCAATTCCATATCTAATATCATTACTAAAAACAAAATTAGAAACAAAATTAATGCACTTGTGGAAGCAAACCTGGACTGAGGCAACAACTGGCAGAAGAACTTTTACTTTCATATCAAATCTTTCCAGATCATTAATATCTACCAACCGTTCAATTACATTTTTCCTAACAGCTCATGGTCCATTTACAGAATACCTTCATAGCTTCGGACTTCACCTTACATATCTCTGTACCTGTGGGAATGAAGGCACAATAGACCATCATCTCTTTCACTGCAACCTTACTAAAGATTATCACCTTAAAGCATACAATTTAACTTCTGTTCAGTTACGGTTTCAACAGTTATTAAAAAGTAATATTCTAAGAAATCATCTTCAAAATATAATAAATTATATCTCCGCAAACATCGATAATCTTAAAAGAACTTGAAATCATATTATTCTACTATGTTTATTTACCTTACTTAATACGCTATTCTTTTTGCTACCTCATTTTAATGCTTTCACTCAAGACCATCTTTATTTAAGTACATCTTCAAGATTTCCCAAGCTGAATCACGAATTTAAGAATATTTTCTATCTCCTTAATATATTAATCTTCTTAATTAATTAAACTCAAGATTATTAGTCAAGACTTTTACTCAAGAATGACTCTCTATCCAAGAATTTTTCCAAGAATTTTTCATTCAAGTTATCCTAATTCATTCAAATACTATTTCTCATCAACTTTTATTCAATTACTGCTTTTCATTCTCCATAATTAAAAACTATACTCTTATTCTAAACTCTTTACAAAACTTACATTCTCAGCCCCTACTATTCTCATACATTATGTTGTTCATTATTAAAATTTATAATGATCTTCTTAAGTATTTACTTATGTATCTATGTTTCATTTACTTACATATTTATTTAGGTATTATGTATTTATATTTTTATCATTTTTAAATTTTTATTATATAATTCTCAAAATTCTAATACTATATTGACTTCATATATAACAACATTGTATTTAGGCATTTATCTAATTCTAAATTTTTAATCTTTATTTATTGTATCTATTTATGTATTTATATATTTATTTATTGATATTTATTTTTATTATGTAATTATCCAAAGTTTAAAATTTTATTGTATTTTATATATAACACACTTGTTAGATGATTCCATCAGTTGAGCTGAATGTTTAAAGGCGGTGCAGCTGCTCATCTGATGGTGAATAAATAAATAAATCTCTCTTGCTTCCAAAAAATCCTAATGTCTCTACACAACTATGAAAAAAAATATTTCTAGAACACTTTCGATTATTTGAAACACCAACGAAATTTGCTAGTCTCTCACGTTCAGATTACCAAGTGTCCATTCCATACGCTGTTTCACGATAAATACAATATCAAAAATACTGCTTGTATGTTTCTAGACAAAAATGTTTAATACTTCGAGAGCTCTCGCTCTCGAAGTATTAAACATTTTTTGTCTTGAACCAGACTGGCTTCGGATCTTTACTGATGGATCCCTCCTGTCTGATGACCCTAATCCTGGAGTTTTCTCCGAAATTTTTCCCTTTCTATATCCCTGTGGTCCGAGATTCTGCGTTTGAGGCTGAAATAGCTGCGATTCGCACAGCTCTGTACCAGCTGCCATGCCACTTGGAAAAATTCACAAGAGCCGTTATCCTCAGTGATTCCAGAGATTCTCTGTTAACTATCGTTTCAGATATCCCATATCACAGGGCATACTGGATTGTCGACATTGTCTAAAAAACATGGCATCACTTGAGAAAACTGTAGTTCTCCAGTGGGTTCGTGCCCACTGTGTGGTTCCAGGCAACGAGAAAACCAACTTTCCAGCAAAAAAGTGCGCTTTAATCATGCAGAATATTTCTCGTGCTATGCCTTTCCATACTGTTAGGGATCTTATTAAAAAATCTTTTAAAGTATTTACTCAAGATCTCTATCATCGTGTTTCTCAGAAGTCTTGTAAGAATGCTATCCCAAATTTGTGTAATGGCCCAAGGCGGAGAGCTGTGGCTGAATTCCGCCTTGCCACCGAACATGACTGCCTACGATATCATCTCCATAGATTCAAAATTGTTCCTTCTCCAATGTGCACTTTGTGGAGTTCTGAAGAGGTGGTGGACACCACACACCTTCTCTACTGTTCTGCTCTGCGCAAGACTTTTCTCGCCGAGCGTTACTGGGAGGCAAGAGATATGTTAGATTAATGGACTGTGTTGCAGCTATTTTTAATATTGTGTTGCTGTATTCTGTGTTTTTTGTTCTTGTTTTTACTGTAAATGTTTCCAATCTGCCATTGGAAATAAAAAGAAGTATGAGACTACAGTATAAAACTAGCCAAGAGTATCAGACTATTTAACAATGGCAGTTCATCCAAGATTTAATTCTCAGCCAAAATAGTTTAGACTGACTGCATGAGATGTACGTGTTTTTCTCCGATATGTTACATGAATACTAACTAGTTTCCTTCAGTTTCTTTATAGAGGACTTCCTTATCTTAGGACGTATTTGAATTAACCAGACAGTTAGCCTTCTCGTACCTTGCCATGATCAGCGAACCAAACATTATTTTGTAATACATTCAACATTCGATGTGGGATCTTTTCCTGTTTGTACTTCTCTTTCACAGCCCTCATTGTCAAGTTAAACAGCTATTTTGTTTTCCAGTGTTTACATGAGAAGGTATTTGAACAGGTAATTTATTTAGATGTTGCAGTCTATGACAAATGAGAGGGTATTTCTGCCTGTTTTAGATACATGACGAAATTTTGAAATGCTGAATATAAATTTTGATACAAACAGACATTAGTGTAAAATAATAGCATCGGGTTTGTTATAAAATTACATTCAATAATAATATTATAATCGTAGTGAGAACATTTACGATCTAATTAGGCCTAATCTGATGACTCATTTTAACTTCTGCGCAAAATTCTTGTGTCGACCATTTAAGGTCTATGGAATCGATATACTTTAAAACCAAATTCCGGCTCCGTGTAAATTATCAGGTGACTTATCACCTTGTCTTAAACTTTCCTTGAAATAATAATAGAAAGAACTCAGTAGATGGTTTAAAATAAACCTTTTTATTAACATTTCTAATTAACAAACTGCACAGCTCGTGTGGTATAAAATAAGTCATCATGGCTTGCAGGTTTTAAGCTAATGTAAAACATAAACATAAAATTTACAAGAAAAAGTCCTATTGGTCCTGTCACGCGACTAAACACAGCTAGCAAAAGATTAAAGTCAATCCAGGTAATTTATGGGCTTAGTGTAAACAGTACGAAGAAAGATTTGCCAGAAGCTCTCCCCTGACTTACAGAACTTTGTCCTTATGCAAATTAACTTATTTACATCCTGGTTCAAAAAATATAAGATATGGATTAATAAATACAAAACCTTGAAAAAGTACCTCTCAAATAAATAATCTTGTGGGGCTAAATGATATTCGCATCGGAAAGTTAAGACAATATCCCCCGAACTTCATATTAAGTAAGTTTCCTGAACCTTGTTCTGTAAGTAATACATTCTGTCTGTATTCATGGCATTTATGACTACGGAAGAATTTTAAAAATATGAATTTTAAAATAAGGATATCCAAAATGATAACATGAAGAAAATTCAATCTAAACAGTATTAAAGTAATCTTCATAATT